ATAAATGTCATCCAGGAAGGCGCAGTCGCCACTAAACGTCACCAAAGTTTGGACATAAACCTAATGAGTTTCATACCAGAGCGTTTGACTTTTTAAATATACGAATTATGAAAGCAAAACCACACAAAAGATAAATGTAGTCCATGTTTAGCAACAAGCAATGTTTAATGAGGCAACACATGTCAGCAGGAGAGCAAAGAGACCAATGAATTACTGAAAAGATTTAGAGTTTATTGATATGTTGGTCTGTGTGTAATAAAAACAAAGAGGGTCAGACACTCCAATAAAGAAGCAGACAAACAGATACAAGGCTGATCTTGTGGAAGAGCCCCTCATCGGAATGTAAATGTTTGGATTGGCCCAGAAGAGCCGGAGTCAGAGTCCATCTGTTACGCCGTCGATTAGCGTAGCGACCAGGCCTGGACAGAGCTGGGCTGGAAGCGTCATCATAAACGATTGTTTCTCCAGGGGGCTTCGCTTTGAGATCCGTCGGGATTCTGACGATTTCCCTTCAGAATTGTGTTGGTGAAGTTCAGCATGGAGGTTTGACACAACGCTGCTGCCAAACCCAGGGAGTCCCACTCAATCCTGACCTTGTTTTCATTTTATTAAGCGGGACTTTTCCTCCAATCCTGAGAATCGATGGGAAGTTTCAAATAACGCAGGCATGGATCGACATAAGAAACATAGAAGGGGACATTTCAGTGGGACGAGTGGATGTGAAATAATCCTCCTCTTTCTCCGCCTTCGTTGACCCCTCCCGCAACCCCTCAGAGGTCAGAGTGAGGTTATTTCCCAGAAACAGGCCCTCCCTTTCCAAAACAAGTCATCGAAAAAGAAAGAAAGAAACACAAAAGTATCCACAGTCCCAGGAGCTAAAAAAAAAAAACCCTGATCGATGGGATTCCTGATGCTGCAGAAAGTCTAAAGCGTGTGTTTTCACCGTTGCGCCGTCTTTTGTTGCCTTCTGGGAGTGACTCACCCCGTCATTATGCGGCTGCAACTAAATCCTCAGAAAGTGACAAAAACAAACAGACAGAGATTAGACCTAATGAGCCGGAGCGTTACAGTTACCGGTGAGACAGGTTTCTGCGTCGCAGCAGAAAGAACGGCAAGCCATCGAGAAATCACTCCTCACTCTGCACTCGCTGGCCACTTTATTAGGTACACCATACCAACACCAACTGGGATGAGTCAGAGCTGACTTTTGCGCGGTCGGTTCTTGACTTTGACTATGCCGTTATGACTCATGAATATAGTTTTCTTTTGCGTCCTGTAAAGCTTTCATGCAGGATTAACCCACATTTAGCTTCACAAGCGTCAATACTGACCAAGAAGAAGCTCTAAAAATTGATTTCTCCTTTGACTCTTCTGCCCCGCCCTTTTGGGTTTTGATTCAAACACTTCATGAAAGACGACTTTATCGCATTGAAACTGTCCTGAAGTGCACTAGAAGCGAACTGTGTTGCGTTTTCCGTCCATGTTTACATGTCCATGTTGTAAAAACCCGCCTCGTGGTACATGCTGTGTTTTGGCGTCTGATAGCCCTTAAAACGCGTCCAGGATCTGCTGCATTTCTCAGAGCAAATTGCCCGGATTGCGTTTCATTGCTCCACCAGAGCCTGAGCCAGCAGGCCCTCCGCTCGCTGCTGAAATCCTCTGAAATCCGAATGCCTCGTGGGCTCATTTGTTTTATTTAAATGAATTCCATTCATTACCTTTCAAGTTGACATTTCTTTTTCTCACACAAGGAGTTTATGTCAACAATAACCACTTTGAAAGCTGCGTCTTCTGTCAGGGATTCATCCCCTCATTGATTCCGCATGATTAATTAACGAAGGCATGAAAAAAACTGCTACTAAAACTGATAAAACCTAAGGTCAAACTTTGGCTCAGTGAGGAGTTTCGAGCGTTCTGCTGCGTTTGCGGCCTGACGGGATGAGATGCTGATCCCTCCAGTTTCCCCAACAATGTAGCATCTGTCTTCGTCTCCGCCATCTGATAGGGAGACAATGAGAGACTGACGGCCTTGAACATTCCTGCGCCCCCTCACAGGCCGCTCGCAAGCTGAGCGCTTCGCACGAGGGCGTGAACACTACGGGAAGGGAAAAAAAAGCAGTTGTCATTTTTTCACGCGTGCGCCATTTCAGGCCTGGACCACATTCACTGGGTGACAGAAGCAGCTATTAGCCTGTTAGCCAGAGAGGGCGCGTGTGTTGATAAGTAGGACAACTTGTGCTTGTAGTAACAATGAGGCTGTGTGACAGAAATACCAAGAAACACACACACACATATCCACAAAGCTCTCTTTGGAATATTGTTTCGGAGCAATGCAGTGGAGTTTTGAGTTGAATAGAAAAGAAAATCAGGAGAAGTGATCCCTTACAAACCGGCACCCCACATGTGTATTTAAAAGTCTCTTTTGGGAGAATGATTGCTGGTGATGAAAAGCATCATTCAGAACAATTAAATTCTGCCAGATGTTCCGATAGACATGATCATTCTTTGACTCCATGAAGAGAAGCTTGTGATTCCACAGACAGCCACCAAACTGTGAAGGGAGTAATTTCATCACACCACAACAAACTGATCCGATCTGACAAGATGCTGAGGAGCCTGCAGATTCCTCTGACAGGCATGCATGTCCCGTCAGGTTTTTGCTGGGTTTTCTGTGACTGGATCTTACATGGCCAACAACTGACAGACCCAGTGATGAGAGTTGAGATGCCCCAATGGCATACAAAGCAGCGCTTTGACACAACTCACCCAGATTTTAAGCATTTATGTGTCCCGCTGACGTTTTGACTGCGTTATCAGGCTTTTGCCACAGGAAGGACATGGAAACGATACAGGGAGAGGAAATGGTTAACGTTCTAGGTGGAGATCTTCCACTTTAAAAGTGAATTAGCAGTGTATTGCCCTGGTTCTCCAAGTGCACTGATAGTTTGAAACATTTGCCCGAACACATTAGCTTAAAGTGTTCCAACTCCAAAATATTAGCGACACATGCTAACAGAAACATGGTTCTCTGCGTGTTGTGTTTTCGCTTTGCTACGTCCAGTAAGGAAGTTGTAGCATTTTGACTTGTTTAGCAACACGCTAACTGAAAGTCCTGCAAATAAAAACCATATGTAGCAAAGCAGCCATATTGGATTTTGAGGTTGAGGTCGGTAAGTGCGCCCGTATAACTGTTTTCTTCTTCTATATTGTTTACTGGCAGCTTGCAGACTTGGTTTATTACCACCATCAACTGGACGGAGAGGTAATCCAGAAATTCATTTTATCCTACATCTTTAAAACTTCTCATCTTTCTGCAGCTACCATTTAGCTAATTGAATATTTGCTTAAAATTGCAGCATTTGGACTGTGAATGAGTTTAGTGTTGGGTGACAATGGAAGGCGCTGGATTTATATCTCCTATTACAAAGTGTAAACAAAAGTGAATTAAAGTGCAGAGGCTCGCTATTAGCCGTGCTCACATTTGAAACAGGAGACCAGCCTCACCCCTGCTGCTCATTGTCTGTGCGGCTCACGGCTAAATATGTGTTTCGCACTCTTTTTCAGCAACTACGACACCTTATCCTTCACAAGTGGTCAGATGGTTTTTGTGCAACCCTGTGGTGTCTGCGCAGAGCTCTGAGGAACTGAGAACTGGAGGTTAAAATGTGAGCGAAAAGGTCACAGGAAAGCAGATCCGACATCGCAGAGAAAAGTGGAGAGGCTTGTTTATGTGGGAACGCGAGAGGCAGCGGGGATGTTCTGCTTTGTTTGCTTTGCACATTCAAAACCTCCCGTGTCAACTTCCTCTAAATCCAAATGACGGCGACGAGGTTCTCCATATGTAACCTAAAACAGAAGAATCTTATGCGTTTTGTTCTTCTTTCTGGTAGAAAGTTGTTCATCTATTTATTTATTGTTTTTATTTTTTACACATCCACCGCGTGAGCAGAAGGCAGATTTAAATAAGACTCCAATTTTCAACGCTGCGTTGTCATGGGAATGTTTGCCACGGCCAAATCTGAGCAGATGGCTCGAGAAAGTCAATGGCGACGAACCAAACGAGCCGATCCACTGTTTTGCCTCAGACTCGGGAGGGAAAAAAGAGAGAGTTTGAGCTCGGCTTGCACTGCAGACAGTGGGTGTGTGAGTCGGGTCAAGCGTGCTCGGGCCTGCCGCGCTGCTTGGTTGGTTGCCTCCTTTCTGCTTGTGGCTCAGACTTGTCAGAAATTCCCTGTAAAGGTGCGACCTTTTCTTGGGAAACCCTGGTAGTCGTGCTGAAATATCCCATTTCCTGGACCTTATATTCATTACCTCTCAGAAATAATCATGCATGTTGAAGTTGAGTGGGATTTGGTGTCAGAGTGTAGCGCAAAGTAGCACGTTTTGGCGATTTTTGCACATCTTTTGTAGCACAAAGCCATAAATCTGAAAGGTGCGGCGTGCATTTGCGTGCAGCCTATTGTGATTCAATCTCCAGTCAGGCGGGTTCTGTGAGGCTTCGCAAAGAGTCGACTCAGGTCAAATGGTGCAAAGTAAAAAATAAAAAAATAGCATGCCGCACTTTTCAGCTTCTCCCACTCACTTTTGTGTTTGTTGACGCAACAAAGTTTAGTGATTGTGACAAAATGCGTGGAAAAAAACAACCAAAAAAATCAGACAGTGAATGTTTTTGCAAGAAAGTGTGGTTGCATTTCACAGCTTTGCTTATTTTGTTCGGAGTTAATGCCCTTTGACCCCCCAACCCCCATATGAATGTCCTTGTTTTACCCTCTTTGCTATTCATTTGAGAGAAATGTCAATGCGGCCCCCAAGAGACGGAGAAAGCACTCAGCCAGACGGAGCTTTCCAATATTCTCCCCCTAATCCACTGCGATGCATCCATGGAAGCTATCATGCTTGGAAGCAGCCAATCAGGCCTCACATTATGTAATCCCCACATTCATATATATAGAGAGAGAGAAAGAGAGAGAGAGAGAGAGGCACAGGCAAATCCAGGCAAGTCCATGCACAAACACAGACGCACTGCTTTGTTTTATGTGATTTATTTTTTTTAAACCGTCTTCAGATTGGCCCTTGAGACTTTAACTTTTTCCTTGGTGTTCTTTCGGCTCTCTCAAAGTCCGGCCTGTGAGTGAGCGTTCCTCCTCCTGGAGGATGTCGCTGTACATTCCTCAGACGTCAGGCCGTTCCCGGGGAAGCAGATGGGGAAAGACCGTTGCACTTATGTCATCGCAACACATTGTGTGGGTATTAAAGGTGATGTTTAAGTCCCTGAATGGAGCGTTTGTTTGTGCTGCAGGCAGCGCGCGCGGCCTCTGTGGGGGATTAAAGCCGTAAAGTAGTTTAATGGATTCTTGTTGGCTGGTTTTCATCCTTCTTTTAACTGTGTTTACTTGCATTTCGGTTTATTTGCCTACATTTTCGCTGAGGCTGCGCCAGCTCTGTTTGGTCAGATTTTTGTGGCTACAGTCCGTGGAAAAAAAAAGAAAGAAAGAAAGGAGGAAAGAAGTAGAAATATGTCAGACATGCTGGCAATGAGATCCTGCATCCTGTGTTTTATGACCTGTATAACATGCATGGATGCTGAGCGGTGCCAGACACCAGCTGCACACATCCACCTGCAGCAGAAACAACAACCCAGACAAAAGTCAGCACAATGAAAATGTCAGCAGCAGCTCAGATATTCCTAAAGTACATAAACAGCTGTCAGAGTACGAGTACAAAACAAATGATCAAAAATCGATTGTTTTTGAAGGTCTTAAAATCAGCTCGGGCAAGATTATCAAAATACATTTTGCAAAGTTAATCAGGGAACCAATAAAAAATAAATAAATACACGACCAAGTTAAATAAAAACAAACAAAACTGAAACTTTGAGAAACGAATCCTCAACCTCGTTCTTTGTCACCGTCCCTCATTGTACAGTATTAACTCTACCATGGCGGGAAAAGCCAGTCATGCTATTGTCTGATTAGTGGTGTGTGTGGGTGTGTGTCTGTGTGTGTGTGGGGTGCTGCTGGCTGCAGACAACAGCCAATCAATAGGAGGGCTCCCTCCTGCGACATCTGCTGTCCTGTTTCACTGATCTGTGGACGTTGCTGCTCATTAGCGGCCCTGGCTTAGCGTGTGTCCGTCCGTGTCACTGTGTGTGTGTGTCCATATCTGGATGATGAATTAACCGTGTCAGGTAAAGGAAGAGAGTAGAAATGCATATGCATGAGACGTCCCTGTCCGCCTGCACGAACACAACCTCTGTGAGAGGGAACAAGCTGCGCAGCGGGTGCTCAACGCTTTTCAAAGTCCGAGCTGCCTGAGCTCCAGGAGCCCACCTGGGGTCAGAGGTCTTTTCTCACGGGGCCAGTGGAAAACAGGAGAACATTCCGAGGGCGCTCACGCGGAACACACACACACACACACAATCTCAAATCTGCAGCTCCCACCTCAACCTTGTTTTTCTGCATCTTGCTGCATGCGGCTGTATTTGGAGAAGGATGGACCAGGTGCTTACAGAACAGGAATTTCTTAATCTGGCCTCCAGTGTGATAAGATAAGGTGAGCGTCGAGTTTCACCAAAAAAAAAAAAAAAAAAAAAGAGAGATCTCTGCTGGTATTTCCTGCAGAAAAGAAAAAAAAGATAACATCCCAATAGAGGTGATAAGTCTGGTCTTTCCTCAAATTAAAAAGTTTCCTCCTTGCACTTTAACAGCAGTAAGAGTTGCTAGTTTAAGTGGAAATAAAGGTTTGGGTGTCCACCAGAAATTACGTTTTATAAGGACAAGTTTTATTTATTTTTCTTCATATTTCATGCTGAATTTCAGGTGAACAACGACCCAGTATCGCCTCGGGTTTGGGACTTTTCGGTGCACAAATGGGGCAAAAGCGGCCTTCACACATGATGTCAGCTGTGAAGAATGTGGGCTGTCTCTTTCCTCTGTCACACTGAAACCAGCCAGTTAACCTGCCCAGTCCAAGGACAGCGCAGAGGATGACCGCGTTGGGCCGAGAGGGCGGCCATTGTTTCAGGCGTCGATCAGGAATGTTGTGATTATTAAGTCGGAGACGTTGGTGACAATTCCGCCACATAAACGTTTCTGTTTGCCCTGCGGTGTGACCCAACAGAACGCCTGCTTGGTTCTGCTTTCAGTGTTCTGTTTGTCTCATGGCGAGCAGTTCAGAAAGTTGGTGGAGCAAATGTTCAGAGCTCTGGCACTTTTGGTACCAAACGGCCATCGTCGGCATCCTCTACTAGGACGTCGCTCCGAAGCTTCCTCAGTTCACCGAAAACACAAACTGTGATGTTTTGCCACTTTTCGCTTGGCAATAAAAATGGTCCTGAAAGAGACATTTTCTCTTTCAAAGAGGAAGAGGACGAAGAGGAGCTGCAGATGGAGAACCGAGAACGACCTTTCCCCCGACGTGAAGCCTCCACACTTCTGCATTTGCTCCTGAGCAAGGAGGAAGTGGGAGAGACTTCCTGCTGCTGAAACAAGTGGGCGGGGACAAAAAAAAGAGAAAAAACACAAAAATGGAGGAAGGCGGGGCTTATTGTAGCTTCATCGTACTATACCCAGAATCCTTCTGTGAGCGAATTTGAGTTTGCAGAAAGGCAGGAAGTGCGACCCCCAGGCTTCATAACAGTGGGGGCGGCTAGTGCTGCAAAAAGTGCGGCGGAGACAAGGAAGTGTCTGTTTGGCTTCCTGTTGGTTGTTTTGTCAGATGTGAGCAGCTCAATGTGCCTTTTTGTGTCAAAATGAACTGTTTGTGCTTTGAGGGCACACACACACACACACACACACACACACACACACACACACACACACACACACACATAGTGCTTCTACGGAAAGAGAGACGCTCAAAGCTGGACTCTGACGGCCTTCTGGTATCGTTGAGCCTTCAGGAATTTGAGTGGCTGCTGCTGACTCCACGTCAGTCTTGGGTTGATAAAAACCTGATGTGGAATTTTGCTCCTCATCGCCTCCTTCCTTCCTCCCGCCCTCTCTCCCCCCACCTCTCTTTCTTGGGATGCCAAATAAGGCAACATGTGCTGAAATCCGAGGCCTTTCGTTTCTCAGCTGTCGCTCTCCTCATCGCACCGAGAGAATGACAGAGGAGGAAAGAAACGGAAAGCTCGCCTCGCTCTCCCTTCCCTTACGTTACGTCACTTTGTTATTTTTCCTCTTTCTTCCCCTCTTTTGACGTTTCGCCTTCACATGTTCGCCGTTATGTAACTCAGTCGGAGCAGCCAGATTGTGGACCTTTTTTTATTCCCCCTTGGCCACAGCTGCTTCACTTCACAGGCCGTCTGTTTACGACTTACGCACTCCTTTTGTTTTTGTGTCCACGGCCTAAAATGGCCATTTGCTCGAGGAAAAGAAAAGCCTGCAGTAACTCCTGCGCTGCTGGGTCAAGAACCACTAAAAGTTTCCGATACTTTCAACCAATCGGGTGGACGTCGCCACTCAGCTAAGGCTCCGGCTCTCGGTTCTCGACTGAGAGGCAACTTCCTGTTCGCTGTGCATACTTCCTCAAAACCCGCAAGGCGGCACAGAGTTGGGTGTTTGTCTTGCTTTTTAAGTTCCCCATTTCAAATGAGACAACGCGTTGGCTCAATGACAGGAAGTGAGTTGCGGTTGAACTCAAATCAGCTAAAAAAGGGACTCAGTTCAAACACTCAGTGGGGGGGCTCAAAGAGAAAGACCTGGCCTCTGTCTTCAGCTTGAAGGAAGAACTTTGATCCCCACAATACATCTGAGTGACCTTCCACTTCCTACCACGTAGCAAACATGAGCCATGTGCTGTGAAACAGTGCTGTGTCCAATTTAGTCACACCTTTGAACTTCCTCTAAGGCATTTCCATCAGATTTAAGTTTAAACTTTGATTAGGCCAAACCAAAGTCCTTTATTAAGTCGCATTTTTTTGTATATTGTCAAGCCGTCTCGAGGTGAAGCTGCTGGCTTGCTTTGGTTCACTGAAATCAGTTTCTCCTCCAGATGGAACGAGACACACATCTTCCAAAAAGCTCAGATTTTGTCCCCTCAGTCCACAGACTGGGAATATATACTTTATATTTACTCATTTTGGCAGCTGCAGAGCTTCAGTTCTTTGCTTCTTTGGTTTGCATGCCTCAAGATGTCAGTGATTTTTTTGCCTTTGTTTTTTCGATGTTCTATGAAGGTTGCTCAAGTCGACGTTTTGCTTACCTTTGAACATTTCCTTACAACTTGCTACAGAGACTTGGACTTGGCAGTTAAAGTCAACTTAGAAAAATAAGCAAACGTCCCTCTGCTGTGAGAAGTGTCAGTAAACTTGTTCAGGCTCGTTTTACTGGCAGCTCTCCGTCAGCGTCGCTCTGAGCCAAATGTAGCAAAGCAGATGAAGAAGCGCTGCTTGTAAGATTGCCTGTTTGGTGCATGCACATACGTAGCTATTGATCGGTTTTTACCTGATCCAACTGCACAAAGGAACATGATTGTGTTCCTGGATTGGCTAATTTGCAAATGCCAGCAAATAGCATGTGAAGCTGCATAATTCCAGCTTCTCAGGCTGCATTTTTGATCTCCTCTTATGGTTGAAATACGAGGGAAGCTAGAGAAAACCGTGGTGTTGCATTCCTTTATTGATTACTCAGAGACCGGAGGAGACATGTGGTCCCTCCTGCTCTCTCTTGTTTGACTGTTGATGTTTTTGCCACATGACCAATCAGGAATTTGTAGGAGCTCGCACACAAACACAGGCGTGCGTTCCCTTTTTCTTTCCCCTCGTCTTTTCTCACCCTTGCACTCGACTATCAAGATTGAGACCGGGCTCCCATCGAAGACGGCTGGAGCGGAGAGCAGGCGCCGAGAGGAGAAATGGAGGGTGTCAGAAGAGGGGAGGGGAGGAATGCGTTTGGTAAATTGGCAAAGAGGGGGGATGGGGTGGGCGAGACGAGGCAGCAACGTGGGGGAGCCCGAAGAGATGAGGAGCAGAAAATGAAGGACAAAGAAAAGATGGAGGGAGGGGAAGCAGAAAGGTAGTGGAGTTCTAAGGAGTCCTGTCCGTGCTCACCGCAGGCCCATGAGTCTTAACTGTGGGAGATCTGGAATTTGGACTCAATCAGTCAGCGGAAATTACCGCAGAGGCAGAGGGCTTTAAATGAAACATGCAGAAAGGAAAGTACCTCTTCACTTTCCTTCTGCTGTGGGACAAAAAAAAATAAAAAACGCCTCATACAACCTCTGTCTTCTACTTATAAGGCAGAAAGCGTTGCGGCCTTATCCTGACGTCAGCTTGACATGATATCGAACCCGGACAAAGATAACATCACTCCTTAGAAGTGGGCCATAGAGGACAAAACCAGACATTTCACAAACCTGGCACCAGACAATCTACTCTTATCTTAGTACTCACTGATAGCAGGGAGCTTGTGTTGGTATACAGTCCTGAATCGCTTTTTCATTTACTACTTTTTGCATTGACTCAGCTTTTTGAGGTTTGATGCAAAAATGTGCGAGTGATGAAAAACTTTTACATTTGGCTACAAGAGTGCAGATACTATTGCACAGAAGCCTTCATGTCTAGAAAGAAACTGCATCCAGATCTCTATTTTATGCATGTCTCTATCACTCTCCAATACACACACACACACACACACACACATAGCGGCCTCACATTGCCGCTTTTTCCTCTGGCAGCAACAACAGTAAACACAGACAGGAAATGTCCTTCAACAGTTCTTGCTTATCAGCGGCTAACATGGAACCACATCGGGAGGCTTTCAAACAGCGAAACCCATGTTTGGGGCTGACCTTCTCGTTGCCGTTTTTGTTTACTTCCGTCTTTTTTACGTCCCCCTCTGTTTTGACCGAACTGCTTCTTCCTTTTGTCAGCGCTCGGTAGAAGCTCGGCTAACGTCACTTTCGGCCTTTTGACAAACAGAGCTTCATCGACGTTGCGAGATGGAAAGCCACACAACTGTTTCTTCGCCACATGTTTAGAAAATGTGTTTGAAATCTCCTCTTAAGGCAGCCGGCATGAAACCTGTTCAACAGTAACAACTTTGTTCCAGTCTGTCTCCAAACCTATTCACACTCAAAGCTTGTGATCATAGACGATTGTAAGAAATCGATCGACCAATAACATCAAGATCTTCAGCTTTTGGTTCAGTTCACACAGTTTACTTCCATTTTCCTTTTGTTCCTGAACAAAACCCTGAGACACCTGAATATCTGCACGCTGCGTCGTCCAGAAAGACGCAATTTGATTGTGGCTTAAGCTAAAAGATGTTTTCCTCTTGGTGCTCTTGCAAGAAGTAAACTCTCTCTTCTGTTTGGATTTCTAAGAAGCACATAGACGCTGTGCATCTTCGAGAATAATCGATCTCACAGTTTCCACTTGAGGACGCCATCTCTGACTCCAGTGGAGCGATGAATGTCCTGCAGATGGGTCACGACTGTGAGCCAACAGATGATGTGTTTATTTACCCGCGTGTGGCTGCGCTGGTGGTGGATTTCCCACAAGGCCGAGCAGTCGCCTGGACGCTGAGTGTGTGAAGGGTTTCATGGGAAAACAAATCAGGAGAGACACTGATGACTCGGGAGGGAACATAAATGGAGAGCTTTATGTTTTGTTTTTTATGTTTCGGATCAGTTATTCTAGAGAGAGATACAGCTTGTTTAAGTCCTTTAAATTGCAGAAGAAGGATGACATCACAGCAGACATTACTAACGGTGGCTCAGTTCTAGAGTCTCCTTTCCTGCCCGAGGCGTAGCGGGGTTGCTAATAAGAGCAAATCTGAAAAGCTTGTGACACTTGATTCACCCACAACTCGCCAAGAATAGTTAAAAAAAAATAAAAAAGCGTCAAAAAACCTTGCAGGGTGTCAGACTAAACAGGCGAATCCTGCAGAAAACCCCTTCCACTCCAGTCGTCTGCGATCACTGTCAAGGTCTTAAAGGTCGGGGGCGGGCGGGTGTGACAAGAGGGCAACAGCCAACCAAGCAGCCCCACGACACACACCCCTCACTTCCGAACACACACACCCTGTCAGAAGCATTTAAGTAACCATCTAGGGGTTGATTTTGCATTTGCAGCACTAAAAACCACAGGATTTTTTTTTTTTGTCTCTTTTTTGTCGTGTGCGCTTTTGCAAAACCTGAACCTCTGAGTACATGGAACGACAAGAAATACTGCCACTTTTTATTTGTATTTTTATTTTTTACAGCATTTGCATTAATAAAAACATTTCAGATGTTTCAAAAATAAAATTTCACAAGAAAAATAATAATAATTTTAAAAAAAAGCTCACAAACCTTGAAATCTACTGTAGCTATAAACACACAGAATGGTTTGACTACCGTCATGGTTAACCAGAGGTGAGGTTGGTTACTGTATTGAGAGGTCAGGGACGTCACATTTCTGGACGTTTGGGCAGAACAACCAGGAAGCAGCTGCAGAACCTGCCCTCCACATGTTGGCTGAAAACAAAAGACACGTTTGTCTCTTTTTAAACTGTTTGAAGAACTTTGACTGTTTGCATTTTCACCCAACAAAGTTCCAGCGAGAACACTAAACGCGTGGATTAAATTTTATTAGAAAAAATGGCCGCAGCAAATCTTTTCACTGCTCTTTTGTGCACTTGGTATGTGTGTATGTGTGTGTGTGTGTGGAGGGGATTCAGGTTGGAGGGTAGGGGCAGCTGGCAGGGACTTGCCAAGATGTCATGATTGTCAACTCATAAAGGAGCTGATCTCTTTAACAAGAAAGCTGCCCTCCTCCCCTGGATTTCTCAAGCTCAGGGCGGAGTAATGTGTGTGTGTGTGTGTGTGTGTCTCTGTGTGTGTGTGTGTGTGTGTGTGCGTGTTAATGTGAACATGCCATCATATGTGGCGTGGTCTAGCAAAGAGGTGGAGACAAAGGCAGGATGTGATACAGCACTTCCTCATTCATCTCTGCTGGATCCTTGGCAGTGCAGAGAGCGCCACCTCTTGGCGAGCTGTCGCCAGGGCGTCGGCGTGCTGGTAAAATTCCACTCCCTGAGATAAGGAAAGCACAAGTGCAAACAGGCCAAAGTGAAATTATTCGATAAGATCCAAGGAGCCCCAGGAGTGATTTCTGGGGAATTCTGGTCATGTGCAGCTCGGACGAGATTCTGCAGGAACGTCGCGCCCAACAGCTGAATCGGTTTGTTTTAGTTTATCATGCATACATGCGGTGCTGAAGAACCCCACCCAAGTCAACTGTAAAGTTCAAGCCCCCCAGGCAACTGAGAAGTTGACAAAATCCCCTGAAAGCCTCTAAGATGTGACGGCGCACATTCCCGGCCTCGGCGTGCGCACTGTGGTCTGGAAATTTAAACATTAACGCTGCTAAAAGCTTCCTGGAAGCGCTGGTGTCTCTGAGGCCTGCTGGGTGAAGACCTGAGAGGCCCAAAGAGACGCTGGACTGGCTCTCCCTCTGGGCCCTCCGCTGGCACCACCAGGAGCTACAGGAATTGTGAAAAACAATTTTTTTTTCTAGCATTTTTTTTATTGCTTGAGCACAAAACTTAAGAGTTTCAGCTCCATCAAAAAAGTTGACATGGTGAAGAAGTTGCTTTCCTGGAATGATATATGATTTCTACCAGGGCTGTCATTAGCCTTGAATGTGCGATTAATTCCAGATAAACGATGAGTCATCTCTGCATTAGAGTCAGGACTGTAAAAGCAGCTGAAAGATGTGATAGCCTTTCAGCGGCAGAAGCAAATTTATGGTATTTAGTCTCTTGTGCAAGAGGGGGAAAAAGCTTGTTATCTGAAGAGAAATAGATTGGCCAGAGTGAGACAGTGGTCAGGGTTGCATGGGGAGTCAAGCTTCAATGACTAAATGAGAGCTGAACATCTCAACCACAGCCGAGGAGCAGAAGCTCAACTCAATTCTTTCCTTACTTCAAATTAAACGCTTTCCTTCTAGATGTGCGTTAGTTTCTTTCTCGGTTTTAAAGTCTTTCTGGGTTTATTTTTGCAGATATGACATAAAATGAGTTGTTTTTTTACCCAGAAGGCTTTTGGGTTCGGGCCAACTCAATAAAACATGGATGTTTTGCAACATTTGATTTCTCCCCTGCGCTCATTTCACCGTCATATCAGTCGTCCGTATAAAACTCCTCTGTTTTATATTCTCACGGATAAAACAGCGCAGATCTTGAGTCTTGAGTTTCATCAAACTCTTGTCTCAAGAGTTTAGGAACAAGTACGTGCAAACGCTTCGCACAGAAACATCTCAGGACACAGAGGATCCTAAACACTCAGTCATCTTTCTGTTTCATCACATATTGCGCCACGGCCTGAAGACGTGCCTCGTCTTGTTATGAGATACCTTCCTGAATTCCTATCCAGAGGCCTGTGTTCTGTTTGTGTAAGGCAGATGCGTGTTTCTACATGCTGCATTCAAACGTTTGGTCCAAGGTTGACGCGGATGTCTCCAACATGGTCGTATGTATCCAGAGTAAATGAGGTTATGCCCGTTTCCTTAAAGATTGTGGCACATTAGCTTTATTTAGTTGATGTCTGCATACATCCCGCAGCATGACTAATCCTACTGAGTTTTGGCGAACACAGAAGGTAAACAGAAACCTTTGAGCCGGCTGTGGGAAGAACCTGAGCGCACACACGCAAATCCCTTCGGGTAAAAGCTCTAATCTCTCTGCACATATTTTGACAAATAACAAAAGGGAAAACAAGGCATCGGGGTTTTGTTGGGATACAATTACAGTTCAAACAATGAAAAACTCCTTTTTGACTGTGCACTTAATCCAAACTGAGCATGACATCCACATTACCAGGCATTTTACCAACTCACCCCACAGCCTGTATTGTTAAAGTGAAGTGAACCTGCAGCTCCATCTAGTGCTACATTAATGTTTTACATTCTGGGTTTTTGTTTTGACAGACACAACATGGCTGCTCCTGTACAGACGTTTTCTGGAAAACAGTTCACAGGAAAAGACAGCGAGCCATAAAGAAAACCAGGTAATATAACCGAAACATTTGTTAGTTAGTGTATAAAGGAAACATGTGCACAAAGAAAGAGAGATCTCTGCTTGGTTAATTTTCTTCTACTTTGGATACTCTTTACATTCTGGCACAAATGTGAATAGAGATGTTGTGATTGTTTAGGGGGAGGCGAGAACAGAGCCTTGAGGAACCCCACATGTACTGTTTGTGGTTTTATACAGATACCATTGCCTGATCTGTTATCAACTGTTATGTGACGTTTGTGGCGTTTCATTCTCAGCTTCGTCTGTCTGCAGACACAATGGAAACAGAGGAAGTAGTGCACTGTGCTCTGCAGCTGGAGAAGTTAGCTGCAGAGCAGAGCTTTGGGAGCATCTCAGCTCTGCTTGGGGATCTGGAGAGATGTGATATATCTGCAGAGCAGCTGGGAATGACGGACCTAGTGGAAGTGCTTTATAAACTCCTAAAAACCTGCAGGGAGAGCAGCGTGAGGAAAACAGCGAAGAGTCTGCTGTCGAGGTGGAAGAGACGGTACGGGAGTGAAAGGCGGGGCGACTCAGGAAACTCCTGTGCTGTTTCTTCAGAACAAGCAGAGGATGGGGGGGTTTCCAAAGATTCAGCACAAATGGATGGAAATAAGGAGGACAGAGCATCGGGTCAGGAATGTGAGACTCCCACAGGAGAGACGACGTCTCCCTCTTCTGACTCTGTGAGAACCAAATGCGTTCAGCTCCTGCTGGCTGCCCTCCGCCCTGAACCTCCCGATGGAGACAAGGCAGCAGAGCTGGCAGAAAGCATTGAGCGGCACATCCACCGTCTCCACAAAACCAAGCTCCTCAAATACAAAGCCTGCGTCAGGAGCAAGGTGGCCAACCTGAGGAATCCCAAAAACAGTCACCTACGCCATGGCCTACTGAGCGGCTCCCTGGCGCCAGAGTCTTTTGCCCGGATGTCTGCGGAGGAGATGGCCAACGCTGAGCTACGGCAGCTTCGGGAGGAATACTCATCCAGGGGTGTGAGCGAGAGGCAGCTTCCCCAAGGGCTGGAGGGCACGCCGACGCAGAAGGTCCGCTGCAAACGATGCGGAGGATCAGACTGCAGGGTGACTCAAGTGTCCAGAGGTGCCCTGTTTTTGCCTGCGTGGGTGAGGCGTGGCGGCCCTGATGAGGACGCCATGACCTTTGTTACCTGCAGCGGGTGTGGCCAGCAGTGGTACCACAACGGCTGGGTGTGCCTCTGAATCCAAAAAGCCACATTGACTGTCTAGCGATGATCTGGTGAGGAAGTTAACAAAAGCAGTTCTTTTTCATGGAACTTCTGCATAAAGTTTAAACAAGTTTGCCTGCTTCTTCATACGTCCTTGAATGTTTCACATTTTGTCAAATTCCCCCTCCTCTAATACACAACACACACACACACACAAAGAAAAACTGATATCATTTATCAGAAACATGAACAAGGAAATATTTTTGGAAAGATCTATATTTTAAGATCTTTGTGAAAACTTTCAGACTGCAGTATTGATCTACAAAAACATAATTTTTTATTTGGCGATATGTCAAAACTATGCAGGTCAAATGGGACAATTGTATATCTGCATCCTTTCGTGTCAGCAATGGAGTCAGACAAGGTAGCATTTTATCACCCAGGTTATTTAACTTTTATATGAATGATCTCTCTAAGCAGCTCAAGCTGTGTAGAACTGGCTGCATGGTTGGCGATACCATCATTAATCATTTAATGTATGCTGATGATAAAGTGATTTTTAGTCCAAGTTCAGCTGGTCTTCAGAAGCTGCTTAATGTCTGTTCAGCATATGGTGAAGTACATAATGTTAAATTTAATCCATCAAAAAGCATCGTCTTGATCTGTCGCACCAAGGAGGACAAATATAGCAAATTTCCAAATTTCAAGTTGTCTGGGACTCAATTGAATGTCTCTAATGAAGTAAAATATCTTGGTCATGTGTTGACAGACACTTTGTCTGATGATGCAGACATTTACCGACAGGTTCGAATGCTGTATGCTCAGGCAAATATCCTGGTCCGTAAGTTTGGCTTCTGTACTGATGAAGTGAAACTGCATTTGTTTCGATCATATTGTACATCATTGTATTCAGCACATTTGTGGTACAATTAAAAAAAAAACCAGTCTTCAAAGATTGAAGGTGGCTTTTAATGATGTTTTAAGACTTTTGTTACATAAGCCCAGATGGACCAGCCAGTGAACTGTTTGTATCTGCTCACGTTAGCACTTTGATGGCTGTTTTAAGGAAGCTTATGTATCAATTTATTTGTCGTTTAAACGAGTCTAATAATAGAATTATTCTATTGTTGACGAATGTTAAATATAGTGCCATAAAATATTCATCTGTACTCTGGAGACATTGGTATGATTGCCTCCTGACGGGTTAGTTGCCATTTTTTAATGCACTTTTTATTCTTTTATTGTTTTTCTTTTCTTTTTTGTATATTTGGACTTTGAGTCTGTGTAATAAATCAATCAATCAATCAAAACCCAGAATCCATCAAGCTCTGGGTACAGAGCCAAATAATCTACTTCATTCCAAATACTTAAGTGCATCTTATTGTACATGATTTCAAAATGAAAGACAATTTTTTTTGTCAGTACTTTTTTGAGTCTGGACTTTGACTGGGCCATTCTAACGTGCGATCCAAACCGTTCTCCCGCAAGGGGAACCTGCGGCCCAATCTCAAGCCTCTTGCTGCAGGTTTTTCTTCCCCAGATTGTCATGTGTTCAGTTCCACCCATTTTCCCATCGTGTCTCACCAGCTTCCCCATTCCTGCGTCACGATGCTGCCACAAAAAAAAAAAACAAAAAAACATATGATGTGGGGTCATCATGAGGTGCAAATCCCTTATAAAAACGGAAGCAGAAAAGCTTCGACTCCTGCTAGTTTTGGTGATTCTCTGCCTTTCATTTCTGTTTACTTTTTGAATGATCTCTCACTTATTGTGTTGAATAAAGGATTTCATGCTTTTTTTCCCTCTCTCTCCCTTCATAAATGTAATTAACATTTAAAACCTCCTCTAGTTGGTTTCTTTATTCCATCGTTACACATGTATTTTAATGATAAACATGATGCTTATTCTTTAGACATTGGTTTCATATTGGAGCACTTAAGGTGAACAGTAGTTGTTTTACCAGCTGTAAAGACAAAAATATATTTTTAGAATTCAGATGAGTTAGTTTAGACCCTCTGAAAGTGAGTTTTTATTATCAACTTTTATGAAGTAAAATGAACTTTTATTATTGCAATTTTACTTCCGCTTTTATCATAACCGGGAAAAATGACTAGATTATGACTGCTATAGAAAAAAAAACCCCGTATGCCACGCCACGCGTGTGCTGGATCAGAGAGGAGGTGGGCGTGGCCCTCAGCGGCTCATATGAGCGTCATCAGCCGCTCGTGCGCTCCACAGCGGCGGGGACGCGCGCAGCACCGTGTCTGCGCCCTGGATCACCGCGCTGCGCTCTGCCTGCCTGACCTGCCGGGGCAAACAGGAGGATGTAACCCGCTGGAAGCCTGCGGTCAGCCCCGTGGGAGCAGGTACGTCTGCAGAGGAAGACGGTGACGTCTTGCCGTTTATTTCAATACGACGCTTCCTGAAGTTTGAATCCATTAAGTCGTAAACGTGACGCGACGGGTTCCATTGTCGGACGGACTCCTAGTCGCTTTTTTTATTATCGTTTGTGACTAAAGTATTAACTCGCAATGACGTGTCAGTTTTGAAGTAGTGATTTGTTTGTTTTGGTTCAGTTTATTTTTTAAATAATGTTTAACAAAAACTAATAAGCGGTCTGTGTGCACAGCCGGTCTGAAGCATAAGCAAATTATGTGGTTATGTCCCGCCAGGCCAGCGGGGGGCAGCCAAGAGCACTTGTTTTCTTTCAAGTTGCTTCTCAGAGTGAGGCGACTTTTCGTAACATTTACATTGTATTGTGCATTTTTTATTTTTTAAATCATTTCTAAATGGCTGTTACGTAAATTAATTCTTATATTGTGGTGAAATTGCCAAGGAAATTTATTTTTAATCCGCTCTTGATTTTAAAATAAATATGAGGAAGTATTTTGAATTCAGAAACACAAACTAATTGCAAAACAAACAACGACGACAACAAAAAAGCTTTAAGGGATTTCCAACCTCAAATACTTAAAGTATTGAAAGTGTCATTAAACATTAACCAACATGTTTGCTTCCTCATAAACAGTTCAAAACAATCACATGACGAATCACAAACTGCAAGCTGAGCTTTAACCTGGACTGGTGGGTAAATCATTACTTTGCAGTTTCCCTGGGTTTAAAAGTGAAGCCTGACTTGTTGCATTTCGAGGGTTTAACTGCAGTCACGCGTCCAGCAGTCATGTCACACAGAAGCAGCTGAAAGAAGCACATGACTCCTGAGTGGGAGGCCGTGCACTTCTGCTTCTGCTCCAGAGGAAACGACAGAAGCAGCAGCAGGTTTCGAGGCTCCGAGACAAAGAGACCATTTACCCGGTAGTATTCGTTCCGCTGCCAGTTCATGTGACGCTTCGTCTTCATGGGCCTTCAGTTTATCTCTTCGGCTGGGTTGCATGCAGACATCCTGACGATGTGCCTCCACAGTCATTACCGACTGGAAACTGCACACTGGACCTGCTTAACCAATGTGTCATAACACTTTTTCCTTCCACTCAACTTTACATTTATATGCCTGGATACAGCCCTGTGTAAAATACCAGCTGCTTTAGTAGTGATCTGTTATTGCAAACTATCCAGGATGTGGATGAGTGTTTGTGGGACACCCGTCACGTTAGCAGCATAGCTAATCTGACCTTTTACACAGATTTAGTTCTTCAAAATGTCTTCAGGGTCACTTTATATCACTGTATTCGTTTTCCACAGTGAACGCAGCCGTTTGTAAAATGCTTCGGTTCTGATCCGTCTTTGCCTTTAGAGGTTTCTGCTGGAAAGGTTCTGCTCAGAGGAAACAAGTCGTTTCCCACTGCTGACTTGGCACGCTCAAAGATCCTGTGATCCGCATTCATGTGATGCACCACACGGATTATTTCATGCCTTACCTATCACACAGAGTGTTTATGTGTGGCGTAGTGTAAGATCTGGACTGTTAATAGGATTTTCTGGTCTGGTTGAGTGGAAGGAAAACGTGTCAGCAGTTAATGCAACACAGTATATGATAAAGTGAAAGCAGTTTGTCCTTATCTAAACTTTCTGTTTTGCTTGATTTTTATTTATTTAGTTATTTTTTTAAACATTTATTTCTTATTGAAACAGAAAGGAACAGAAAAAGCAATTATAGAAGTAAAATAGTAAAATAAAGGACGTAAAAAGACATGTAATTTTAAATGAATACATTTTAGATGTATTCATTACTTCTCTGTTGTATATAAAGTCCTAAATGTTCATGTATGTAGTAGAGCATTACATTTGGCTACTGGGTTGTATGTGAAGGTAATTAAATGCTTTCTTCCCCTTTAGGTCCAACACCTGGTTCTGGTTCTGGTGTCTCTTGGTGCCCGAGTCCTTACACCCCGCATCACTGCAGCCATGATGGCCAAGTCGGCTCTGCTGAAGGTCATCCTCCTGGGCGACGGCGGCGTTGGCAAGTCGTCCCTCATGAACCGCTATGTCACCAACAAGTTCGACTCGCATCTCTTCCACACGATCGGCGTGGAGTTCCTCAATAGAGAGCTGGAGGTGGACGGGCGGCGGGTCACCCTGCAGATCTGGGACACGGCGGGTCAGGAGCGCTTCCGCAGCCTCCGCACGCCCTTCTACCGCGGCTCCGACTGCTGCCTCCTCACCTTCAGTCTGGATGACGGACAGAGCTTCCAGAACCTCTCCAACTGGAAGAAGGAGTTCGCCTACTACGCCGACGTCAAGGACCCCGACAGCTTCCCGTTTGTGGTGCTGGGCAACAAGCTGGACGTCCCCAAACGCCAGGTGTCCGGGGAGGAAGCCCGCAGGTGGTGCCGGGAAAACGGAGGGCACCCGTACTTCGAAACGAGCGCCAAGGACGCGACGAACGTGGCGTCGGCCTTTGAGGAGGCGGTGCGTCGGATACTGGCGTCTGAAGACAGAGACGATCACCTGATTCAGACTGACACAGTGAACCTGCAGAAGAAGCCTCGCCCTGAGCCCAGCTGCTGTTAATCTGAGGGACTCTGGGGTTTTGGCTGGGCCTTTGCACTGATGCCACTGTACAGCTCTGCATGCTACTATTTATGATTAAACCTGGATCAACATTTTCATGTCAAGTTTTTAGCTCAACAATCAAAACTACACCACGTTTGGCTCACATCTACTGATGTTATCTCTTTTGTTTGTATCAGGGAACCAAATAAGACCAAAAAAAAAAAACTGTGATTAAAATATGTTGATGCCCAGAAAAACAGAAGTAGAGATTATTTTGTGCTCATAATTGCAGAAGTAGTGCTCAGATTGACATTAACACTTGCACTCCCTCTGGATTTAGATTTATTTTCTCCTAAAATAATCATTCTTGTATTCGTGTAAAAAAAACTGCACAGAAGCCCAGAGTTCTCATTTCTCAATAACTCATAGTGAAATTATGTTTTAAAATGTGAGGGTTTTAGCTACATTATACCATACTTAATTTTTTTACTCTAAATTTGCTGTGAAGTTGACACAAATTTGCAGAACAATTCAGGTTAACTTGCTTTATTTTTATTTTTGTGCAGTACCCTTTTCGTCCACATGGTCGCGCCACTATTACAAAGTTCATATTCAAGCTTCATTGTAGAATTAAAAAGAAACAATAAAACCAATTGGTTTCTTTTAACAAGGGAAACTAATCCTAAAGATTAGCCAATAAAGAGCGGTAAATATAGCAGACGTGCCTTTTATTAAATTAAAATTCTGTAATTTACTGACTGTTATGTCACAAAACTTACCCCATTTTCCTACAATAAGTTTTCCTAGTAACTTTTTGATATTTTAAATAAAACCCGCCGGACGACGACAGGTAAAAACAATGATTGGACAGTCATTGTGACCATTGATGTCAACACTTCAGTCCGCTAGATGGCGGTAAATGCACCCTAAGTTGTTTGCCATCCGCCAATAAAAAAAACAGGAAGAAGAAGCAGCAGCAGGTGTAAGCAATTAGGCGAAGCGGCGGTGACGTCGTCAGGGAGGAAAAGCCGCCGGGATTAAAAAAGTAAGTTCACTTTTGCTTTACTAGATAAAAGTTTTAAACAAAAATATTTGCACTTTATTCCTTTCGAGAGATTTGATCAAGTTGAGTCACAAATTCTGTCGATCAGAGAAGCGATAAAACCAAATTTAGCGTTTTTTAAGCAAACACTTCCTGCAGAAGAGTTGTTTCCTTCCTATTTTGTCAATAAATGCCAATTCTTGTGAAACAAAAATGAAAACAGTTTGGCTACTTTTTTACTCTCTGCTGAAAATAGAATTAGACAGATTTTCAAGATAAATGCATAAATTTTTGCACAATTAACTATGGTAATTCTGTAATGTAGTTAATTTAAAAGAAAAAAACCTTTGAATAAAGTCAAACTTCTGAACTCCCATTTACTTTCCAAAGGTAATTTATGTCAACTTTAAACGTCAGTGATATTTTCTGTAAAGATAATTTTGTGGCTAAAAGTTAAAATCTGCTTAGAAGAATGTGGGATTCTGCATAATTCATACATTATTTAATCTATGTTTTTCTAACACTGATTAGTACTAAGAAATGTACAATTTTAACCACGTTTAGTTTTCTTTGGAAGATTTAACATTAAATATATAGAATAATTTAAAACAATATACTTGCTGCTAGTATATAATGGAAAGTATAATGCAATTGGAATCAATAATGAAATTCATAGATTTGCAACTTTTTTGACAAATTTTAACTGATTTTTAAGTTTAAAAAAGTGGCATTAACTTTATCAAACAACAACAAAAATGCACTCGGTAATTAGAACAATTTGGCGTTCATTGTAAATATTTTTCAATATTATTTGTGGTTTCATAAATATGTTATTTAATTCAATAATAATATCCTTTGTCTGCTGCTAATTTCAGATTTTAAGGTGTATACAGTGAATCTAAAAGCTTTTACACTGTGAAGCAGAGTTAAAGTAGCTGCCCTATATTTAGTTAATAGTCTGGCTTTTGCTTTTCTTTTTGCAGTGAAGCTTAGACACATTTTGTGGCTCCCGACTGCTTTCACTTGCTAAACTTTCCTTAAAAGTCCCAAATCGAAGAAAGAGGCAAAATACACAGTCGTCACGATAATAAAAAATATCGGTTTTACTAGAGAAGGTTACAAAAATCACCATAGAGGAGTCATAGAACTATTTCCAACTTAAAAAAAAGAAAGAAAGAGAAGAAAAACCAGAATGAAACACCTACAGGGACTACAATGCCATCAAAGTACAATGGAGTTTTTCTTTAGAAAAGAGCAGGGGCAGAGAGAGGGGAGGGAGGAAGGGGGCAAAACACCGCCTACCATAGTTGTCAGTACAAATGACTACACATCACCTGAAAAAACCGCAAAGACACAGTCATGTCTCCTTCATGCAAATAACGAGGAAACAACAACACCCTGACACGCATCGTCGGCTTATAGGAAATTGAAGTTTTGCCTTTTACATCAACTTGGCGGCAAAGCACGGATATTTATTCAACATAACACACATGGCAATATAGTCCTTTTTTTTAAAATACAGAATAGACAGCTGCGCACATGGACGATACGGACATGCTTCATCTCATCAAAGTTCAAAAATTTCTCGTCTTTTTTTCTAAGGGTTAACTAATCGGTCATGATTAATATAGAATATAGGCCATGATTATTGAAACACATCTGGTTATAAAATTAATGTATGAAAATTCCTGACTTGTTTTATTCAGTGTAAACATCCAAAATAGTCTTTGTGGCTTGTATGAGAGGCATGGCATTCAAAAGAAATAGGAGAAAAGAGAGGGAAAAAAAAGAAGAAAAAAGTGACTTTTGTCACGCATTTGGCTAAAAATAAGCACAAACATGTTCCATAAAATACTTAACCACAAGAACCCAGCTGCCTAAAATGGATAAAGAGAATAATGATCATAATAAAAAATAATAATTCCCATTTTTTTTCTTCACATTTTAAAATGTATACGTCACAATCACCTCAAATCCATCATATAATCATGACTGAACTGTGTCCCTCACGACATATCATTGAAGATGTTACATTACAATTAGTATATCAAATGCAGAAACTAGTATTTGAATGCTAAACACATTTCTCAAAGGGTACGTTTACATATATTTGTTTAAAAAAAAAAGTAATAAAAAAAGCATGTCTGAAATTAAACATGTCTTCTCCCCGTTTTGGGGCATGGGAAGAGGTGTGAACAGATTTTTTTTTTCTTTTTTTGGGTGATTCTGCTATTTACAGGTGAATTTAGTTCCCGAAAGGAGGAACTGGTGGGTGGTGTTCACACAGGATAAGATCAGTAATCAGGTCAGAGTTTAAATGGTGAATATTTGGAAATGAAACACAAGTCGGATTTTGGTTTGATACCTGAGGTGTCTTGTTTTTTTTTTTTTTTTTTTTTTTTTTAAGACCTAGATGTGCAGCGCCCTCCACACTTAGAGGCAGACTTGTTAAAGTTGTAAAGAAATAAAAACTAAACCTCTATTGTCGCAGGAAATTAGAAAAGTCCATTTTAGCACCATTCATTCCCTGCGTAGATGTAAAAAATTAAAATAAAATTGCAAAATCATTGACCCGACAATTATGTCTGTTTCTAATAAAATAAAATAAAAAAAAAAACTACTTAAAAGTGTCTGACATTTTTCCCAAGCAGTCAAAAACTAACTTAAAACAAAACAAGTTTTTAAATTAATTTTACCTTCTGAGCAAAAATCTGATCATGCAGCATTTTCAGAACATGAACAAAAGAGACTAGAAAAGGGAAAAACAAAAACATAAAAATGGGTTGCCTTAAAAAGGGCATCAAATTTCCACTAGCAAAAAAAAAAATCGAGTTTTTTTTGCTGTGTCTGATATTTTGCATTTACTGTTTGATAATTAAGTGCCAAAAAGCAAGTGTTTGTCTGCTTCTCTGTTGGCGGACCACAAAAAAAGCACACCAAGTGCCTAAAATGGTCCACGACCCTCAGTTTGGACACCAGTATAGAAATGTGACAAAGACTTGTATTTGCATTAGCTGAAACCACCTAAACTTACCCACATGTACAGCCAAGTCAAAACTAAATAAATGTCATCTCCATGGCATGATGCTGCCACTACCGTACAACAAAATAAAAAAAAACAATGTACCGAAAGAAAAAATGTACACATTTTAGCCACTGGTGCCAGTAATTGTGGAGGACGCCGCATTTGACTTTTATTTCAGCTGGTGATGAATGTAACAAAAACCCAAAAACCTCAAATGGTTTTAAAAAGAGGCATTTGGCGAGCTTCCTTGCTTTCTTTCACTGCCAGATGAGAGGACTGGTTCCATATTTATGACCTTTTAGCAAGAAAACTTAATTTTAATCCAGGACATGGAAGCAGATAAACTGTTAACTAATCCTATAAGAAAAGTAGCGTTTAAATATACTTACTCAAATGAACAGAAATCCTTGAGATACTACATGGGTTTTCATTCTTTTAGGTGTTTATTCCTGGAGGGAGTAAAGAAAGGGTTTGTTTTGCGCAAGGAAATTTTATTCTCCCCCATTTTAATTAGTTTTTTTTTTTTAAATAGTGCAACAATGTTTGGAGCAATAGCAATAAAAAGTCAAAGTGGTGGGGAAAGAAAAACTAAAAGAAGAAAAAAATCTATGAGCCCAAACTCGTAAAGATCATAACAATACCTGGCATACTTTTCAGAGTATTTAAAAAGAAAAGAACAACATTCACACACATTCGCACAATATATTCATATTCATATATATATATATATATGCATATAAAACACCAAAAAACAGAGGAACTTGGTTGCTGTGGTGCTTCCCAGTGGCTGAAACACACAGTGAGCATTGTTTTTCGATTTTTATTCTGTTATTAAATTTTTTTTCTTTTTTATTTTGTCATCAGGAGCTATGTGTCGAGAGGCTGTGCTGGCTCAGGGCGCGAGGCCATCACAGCCGGGCCACGTTCACGAGCCGCCGCCCAAAAAAAGGGAGGAGAGGGGGGAAAAGAGGAGGCGCCGAAAACCTTAACATAGCTCGACACCCGACGGGGCGAGCCTTCAGCGCTCTGAAGCAGCCGCCTCCGTCCGGGGCCTGGCCGCTCTCCTCCCGACCCTCCAGCCTCTTCCCCTACCGGTGGTGGAGAGCGCGCTGGCGCCCCGGAGCGGAAAGCGCTTCTGGGTAAACGGAAGAGGATGGAGAATCAGGAGACTGGGCTGTCGAACATGACCGAGGTGGGTTTGTTTTGTCGGGGGGGACAGGGGAGAGTTTGGGGGTGGTGGGCGCTAGGTGTTGAGGGTTTAAGATTCAGGGGAGAAGATGAGCAATGGCAAGAGAGGACGCTTTGTCCTTATGAATATGAGGAGGAGTTCTGGCCGTCCTTGGAGCGCGCCTCGGCCTCCAGGTCCTGGTCATCCTTCGTCTTGATGTCCTGGTAGTCATGCGTGGAGGCGGCAGTCTTCAGGTACGCCCAGTTAGCCGCTAAAATCATCAGGTAGTGGATCTGAGAGCAGAGGGGAAAAAAGAGACGTTTTACATTTCAGAACTCAAAAGCACATTTTGGTGTCCATTAAAATGACTGGAGTGTGTTAAATAAAAGTATTGTTTGGAGGAAATGTGGAAAAGTTCAAGGTTTCTGAATATTTTTACACATTTAACCAAAGAAAAAAAAAACTACATCTTGTTGTAATTTTGTTTTAAACTTTTACTTTCTCTTATCGCCACCTTTCTAAAACAGTTTCAAGCCTCTCAATAAATTCTCCCCCCAAAAAACAACAAAACAAACAGTCTGATAATAAGAAACCCACTGATGTAACTTCACTGTGTTTCAGGAAACGTCCTCACTGAAATGCAAGGAGTGAAGGTTCTACAGAGACATCCTGATGAATCTGAAGCGCTGACTTGATGTTTTTCAGGTAAGAAAAACTTTTTCATTTTTCATTGTGTTTGCTTGTTGCATTTTCTGCCATTATAAAATACATGCCGATATCCTACAGTAAAGCGAATTGACATGAATATTATGCCATAAGTCAGACCTTGTTAAAAAGCTCAGGCAGGTTTTTCTTGCCTTGTTCATTTGTCTCGGCCAAATGAACAAGAACGTTCAGGACTTACAGGTATGAAAATATCTATTTGTTCTCCATAATTATGTAAAGTGTAATTCATAACTACAGTAAATACATTTATTAGGCTTAAAAAAAGCTATCCAAAACAACCTGAATATCTATGAAAATGTAATTACCCTCCTCCTTAAATTAAGAGCTAAATAAGATCAACCACCTTTCTTAGTTTAATCCCATGAATCCCATCCAAAGCTTATTGCTGCACCTATAAATCGCTTTTTTATAAACAGGAAGTGGGCCAAATGATCTAAAGAAAAAAAAGGAATAGTTCTGATTTAAGCATCCTAATGTGAACAAATCTATTTCTAAGCATTATAACCTTTATCCATACATGGCTGAAGAAGCATGTTAATGCTGCCAGTCCATTTTCGTGGCACTGTTCCTTTAAAACATCAAAATAAAAGGCATGCAGGTGACCCAGCCGAACGTGTTCAGATATTTCATGATTTTTATTTATTTATTTATTGGCATGTCCATTTCCCCGGATGCAAAACACAAAAGTCCGCCTCCACAGTGGAGTAAAACACATCCGCGCTCGCCCAGCAGGCCGCGGGGCAGCATTTCAGCTGACGGTACAACACATTTACGTGAGAGGCGCGGTTGCCGCGGCAACAGATAAGCGCGTCATGGCAACGCGCATATCTTGAGCGGCGGGTCAGAGCAGCTCACCAAAGCGATGACGGTGGCTCCGGCGCCGGCCAACGCCACGATGTAGAGGTGGTAGGACAGGTAGAACTGAGAGGGGGAGATAAAAAAAAAAAAGATTTTAGGCGAGTTACACGAGAATAAACTGCAGAAAAAAGTGAAAAAAAAAAAAACCCACTCACCTCGCTGGTGCTGCAAATATCTGTCAGTGTGGTTCCACAAGCCTTCCCGGGTGTTGCGTTCAAGGGAATAACGCCTGCAGGATCAAAGAGATGAAACGTTACCAAACGACAAGAAGCTTTTTTTCCCCCCCAGATTGAAAGTATATTGAATGAGGCTCAGAGAAAGATTAAAGGAAACAGGGCTGCCACTGCTGCTGGAAAAATATGGGTCATTATTCTGAATGGATTTCTACCTCATTTCGTCATATAAGCTGAAACATATCATTTATCAACGTAATTTAACCTCTTTCTTGTTTCAGTCACAAAGAAATATAATCGCTCCTCAGTTTTAGCATCTGCTGATCATAATTTGGTGCCTCCCACTAATTGGGGTTAATATTCTGAAGTATGTCCTCATCCTACTTTATAGTCTGGCCAGCTGTCTTTCAGATGTGGGTCAAATACTGTACATTGTTCCATCAAACAGTGAACCGTAGAACTACAAGACTGGATTCTCCATACTTAACTTTTTTTAAGTCCTTTTTTTTTTAACCATTCTGCTAGTTTGAAAATCAGAGGCTTTCACATCAGATGCTTCTCTCTGAGCTCCTTGATCAAGGGGAGTCGCTCTTCATCTTTGAAGAAACGCAGTCGTGCATGTTTTGCATTCGCTCTCTGAAGCTGCAAATGCAATATTCACAAAGGAAATGCATATTCGTGCTGCTGCTGAGTATTCCTTCCCCTAAACTTTTCACAGATCCCATGTCAAAACTGTAGCATCTTATGCTATGCTTCAATGGATCAAAGCAAAATGGGGCTGTGTTGATGATTTTCAACACTTTAACCACCAGATTTTGTATTTTTATTTCAATATGCATCGTTTGTTTTAAAATAATTTAAGCTCAGTCAAATTGGATGGAGAGCATTTGTTTCAAGTGTTTGTTTGTTTGTATTTTAGCACCAAAACAGGGTGTTTGAGGCTAGCACTAGCATGTTTTGCTGTGGAGTAGGTGTCATCAAGGGGATGCACAGTGTTGGTCTTCCTCCACATATTGTGTTTTGCAAGTTGGCTAAAAGGTTTGCACATGTTTGCAGTGCCCTTTATATGGTGAAACAATGCTTCCTTTCTTCAGTGGCTCCTTCAGAAATGTTAAAAAAACTTCTCTGATTATTGCTCTCCTTCACTGCCTTGTTATTGTCGGAGGGCGGCCATATTTGGAGCCGTTCCATTCTCAGATGGTGGGTTGACGATATTGCTTTTGTGTTAGTGGAATACGTTGGCAAGGTTCTGAGAGCCGAGGTTTTGGAGGTTAAAGCTACAAAGGCATTGTACCTTTTGTTTTTCATTTCAAAAACGTGCTTTCATAACCCTGCTGCCCCTCGAGTTCGGCTCCAGCCCACCTGATTCTACGTAACTGTAATGAAAATCTGTCATTTCTAATTAGATCAAGAGGGCAAACCCCATCTGGAGCATTAAGATTCTCTTAACCCCTTTATTTCATCCTGAAAGTCAATTCTTGTCTTTTGAAATCTTGATAAAGACATGCAAATGGGCAACAAAAAACTCTGTCAGGATGTAATCAATGTGTAAAAAGACGTCTGAATTCGCAGCTCCACCCCTCCTCCGAATGCCACCCCGGTGTGACCACCCAAACCGACCGATCCTCCCAGAGAACCAGAGTGAATGAAAGCATCAGCGACTGACCGTACTGCCTGACATCCACACAGACGGAGTCAGGATACGTGATGTTGGAGTCTGGAGATCTCATGGCGGCGCAGGTGTTCCACATGTTGAAGAAGAGGAAAACCGGGATCGCCGTGAAGCAGAAGATGGCGATAAACACCAGAGCGAAGATGTAGGTCAGGAACATGAACTGAACCGAGGAAAGGAGGAGGCAGAAGATGTGATATTATTACTAAGTTGTGATGCACTGAAGAATTAGGCTCATAATATTTACTTGAAGTCCTCACCATCCACCCACTCATGCATCACTTTTTGCTTCCATGCTAATGTAACTGGACATCTGCAGTAATTAACTTAATCAGACAAGGAAGGACAAACTGTGCCAAAGAAACCCTGAGGGCTGAAGCATGAATCAAGAATCTAGCTTAAGAGATTAAAAACATCTCCACATCTTTATGCCGCCATAGCGACTTTGTGGAAGTAGCTACGTCTCATTTCTTGGCTTTCACATACAAAGGCAGTGATGCAGCGTCCACAGATGGTCGTCTTAAAGTCGCTCTGCAGCTCCTTCTTGATGGCGCTGGTGGTGTAGAAGCCCTCACCCAGCAGGAGGATGGCGTAGATGAAGAAGAAGGAGGCGATGCCGTAGATGATGTACTGAAAGATCTGGATCCTGGACGCAGGAAACAAAAATTGTTAGTGGATCAGATGGATGAACTCAGAATATTTATGACAAAGATCAAATATGCAGGAAGTAGGGATGATCTCCATGGAAGGAAAATGGAAAATGGAAAAATTATGGATTGGATTCTTAGTTTTAAAGGAAGTAAAAACCCATAGCTGAGGGAAGAGGATGTACAAGACTCACACAGCGGCGAGGGTGGCATGGTCACTGGTGATCCTAGAGAAGTGGTTCTCCAGCATGGTCAGGGTGCCGGTCAGCGCCACGTGGCCGCAGCCACAGAACAGGGCCACGCCCGAGAAGCAGAGGATGGTGGCCACCAGCGAGGCGTAGGGCACCCCGCCCAGACACTTGATGCAGCACTCGAAGCATCCTGCAGAGGGAGACGAAGAAAGAGGTTGTTTCCACTTTTCCTGTTGCATTTAGACACGAGAAAGCTCACAGCTAAGAAAGCATTAAAGGGGATCTGAGAACAAAGAATTTAGGTCAGATATGAAAGAAGGCAGATGGGGGTGGGGGGGCGGACAGAAGAAGACGCTCTACTGCAGCCATGTTTTTATAAGAAAGAACAAAGAGAGCTGGCTGACATCCCATAGTGACTTGCTTAGCTCTGCTGACGACACTCGCTGCAAAACTCAATGGCTTTTTATCCTGTGCATCAGGCATGTTGAGCATCTTTCACAGCGAGTTGGAGTGCTGAATTTTGCACCACCTACAAAAACCCCCGTGTGTCATTTTTTTCTTTTCTGTTCAAGAATGCCTCATAGTCAAATGCATGATGTTCTATTTTTTTTTTCCAGGTTGAAGTAAATATTTGAATTTGCCAGTAAAACTTCCCAAACGTTGATGAAAAATTTAAAATCCGTCTCTTGTGTTTTGCGATGCTGAATCAGGTCTACAGGTGCTGCAGATCCATCCTGCTCCAGTCCCACCCTCCCAAAAAAAAAAAAAAAAAAAGCTGGAACAAAAGGCACCGAATGCAAGAGCTGCATGTTATATAACATGTAGCACAGCAGATAAAAATAACTCCTGTGGCAAAGCAGGAAGTTACTCTGGGAGTAAAAAAGACAAAATGAACCGTCTTATGTGGCTACGTTGCTGTTTCCATGACAGCCTGCTCCAGTTGGCACCGCCAGCTGATGTTCACAAATCGGCACGGGTTTTGGTGCCGACTCAACCCACCGCATGTCCTCCGTGTGGCTCTCCACGCACACCAATATATTTCTGACATGCTCCCCCGATCGCCAGTGAATAACGCACTTTGTGATTTCTAATCTGTGCGACAGCTTGTCTCGGGAAAACATGAGATCCGCTCAAACATCCACACGACCTGGGAGCCCGGACCCGCTGACGGCTTTTATCAGCGTGGACCTCGATGCAATGTGACACCTGATGGCAGAAGTATGGAAAAATACCAGTTCAAGGTTGGCTTTGAACAGAAATCCTCACAGAAACTCTGGATTGAAGTGTTGAGGCGTGGTAGAGTTTACGGCCTGCAGGCGGATGCTGTTGATGGGTTTAAAAGAGCCAATTGATTTCAGCATCAATGGCAATCTATAACACTATATAAACTAAATGGAGTGTTTTTTTTTTCTCCAGTTATGATCACCTCTGCTAAAGACAGTAATTTGAATAAATGTATTAAATAGGGAATAAAATCTCTCTGTTACTGATAATACAAATATTGAACAGTCTATCAGTTTGTTTTTTTACCTGTCTAAGACTTCCTGTTCCTCCACATGGGTCCCTTTCTCTTTGCTTCTTTTCAAAATGGGAAAGACAGGAAAACATTCGATAGTGTTGATCTTCAAATGACAGAAAATGGCTTCAAGAACAGCTTTTTGACTTTAAGACAGAAACGCAATAAATACTCCTACTGGTAAACTAATGTATAGTTATATTGTGATCTAGATTTTTTCTTCCAATTTAATGTATTTTTTTTATCAACAAAATGCAGATTAAAGATTGAATAAATAAAATTTTTTAGGATGTTTGACTGCTTTTCTTTCTGTAAAGCATACCACATTAAACACGGCGTTATCCCCAAAATACCAACATTTCTATCTATTTTATGGCATTAAAAAAAAAAAAGTCTGCTTAATTTAGAGTCTGATTTCAAAAACATCAGTATTTTATTGTTTTTTTTTATAAAGTAGTAACTGTTGCTTCCAAATCGCTCTACAAATGTAAAAATTCTAGCAATGATTACATTTATTACTGCTGTGTTTTAACCTTTGTGATGAGCTAAATCTTTTGGTCATTTGCGACTTTATTTTTTTTTTAAAACCAAAAGTTGTTCCGGCTTCCACAATGCAAGCACAGTTTACATCAAACAGTTTTGATTAGTTTTTTTCCACATCCAGATAAAAAGTCTTGTCAGAGTTGATTCAAGAAGTTTGAGTCTTAATAAAAGCTCATCCTTAAATCTGAAGAAGCATCATCTTCCCCTGCGTTATGTAACCCAGCGGAGGCCTGTTACGTAACGAACCCAAATCCTATTAAAGTTAATGAAGGAAGCGCGCTGGTGGAGGGGTCCAGCTGATCAAGCTGAACGGCTGGACCGGGAAGCGGGCCGAGGCCTCCAGGACGAACCGGTCAGCACACCGGTCAGTTCTGCTGTGAAACCTCAACGAGTAAAATTTGAGTGTTGTATTTTCAAAGCGAGACGGAAACAAAAGGAAATCCTTCCTTTCAAATGCAAATGTAGAATTTCCACCTTTATCTTCCATCTTGGATGCGAGTAATTTGACAGGATGGGAGCCTTTTTGGGACAAATCCCACGCCTTCATAGGAGCTATTTATGGTCTTTATTGTTTCTGCTTTTAGCTCCGTCTTCTCTCCCCTGATTCCGCGCCGCTTCATGGATGAATTCACAGGTTCCTCTTGAACGACGGAGCCGACTCTCTCCTCTTTCCGGTCCTTCCACTCCCCCCGGCTGCGACTGCCAGCCTCGGTTAAAAAGTGCGCTAATGGGAAGCAGCCTGGCCGGAGTGGGCAGCTCCCACCGGCCCTAATGGAAATCAATGGGCTATTCATTAGAGCAGAATTTAGGTGACACACCGAGGCCGGCCTATCTGCCTCGTTTCATACCTCGCCGCCTCTGTCTTCGCTCTATTGTCTCCTTTTCTTTGAAATATGGCCGCTTGTCGCCGTCGTGCTCCATTAAGCCAGTTGGAGTTAATCACCAAGACACTATGTTACGCTCCTGTTATGTTACGGCGTCGTAGATCATTTTCAATAACTTTCGGCGGGTCCCCACCGAAGGATTTCACCTTTCTGTTCACGTTAGGAGGCAGGGCGGCTCAGAATTTGACAGACGATGAGCGAAATTCGGGAGTATTGGGACAGTTTTCCCGCTTAAACGCCGACCTCAATTTGTGGCTGACAACTAAGCGAGAGGGTGCTTGATTTGATCGCCTTTTCACGGGCAGCTCCGAAACAAAAGGGCGATAAAATGAGAAAGAAGAGGGAACACGTCGAACGACGAGGAACAAGTGAGGAGAAGGAGGTGAGAGGGGGAAAAAGGCAGAGCAAGAGAAGGACGGGGGAAACGTTTTCTTGGCCCTGGGGCCGGCGAACGGCAGTTGCCATAGCAACGTGTTACCCACGACCCACTTCAGTCCCTCGCAGTCGCTTCACTCGCGAGCAAAACCCAAATGAAGCGGCGGAGTGGCGTTCGGTTCGTCTTTTCATGTTTTCAAAACGAAATTCTGTGAATGGAGGAAACGTCTCAAAAATGTCGACTTATGTCTCAGACTCAAACCTTTAGGTATTCTGGTTACATTTTACACCTTTAGTTTTAATTCTAATACCATTTTCCCTTTGCTGATTAAAAAAGAATTAACTTGCCAGAGGATTATTATTATTTTTTTACATTTGTAGTCCTCATGTTGGCCTAAAGTGGCTAAGCTATTCGCTAGAAAAGTATTAAAAATGCAAAATCTTTTCGTCCACATGTATGTCGCATAAACTCACGTTTCTTTATTGCATTAGACTTCCAGTATCAGCTATTAATATTGATATTATCTACTGTAATGTTACAAAAAAGAAAAAGGGAATGTGCTGAAATATCTTAGGCGTGTAAATGATCACCTCCTTTCCATTATAAATTCATAGTTGCTTCTTTTTTATATATATATTCAGCTGCATGAATGTTTGTCAGATTTCTGAGCCTGAATGTGGGTCCTCTTTCCAACTAATATATCATTCATGATAATAAATTAATTGAACACATTGTAAATAGATTCCTTTTCTAAATAATAGACAGCTCTCTTTCCTGATTCTTCATCTTCATCCTTGTTTTTTCCCCACGTTCCCATTTTTCCGCCTTCATAGTTAAATCTGTGCCTTCCTAATAGACTCGGGCGCTGTGACTGAATAAATAATGCCTCGCAGGCCGGAGATGCGCTCGCAAACAGAACCTGTCACCGATTGCTGACATCTTTTGTGATTACGCTTCGCATTCTGTCAATCACCCGACACCCACGGTATGAAACAATCCCTCAAATGCACGTCGTCTTACAAACTTTATTGTCACAGGAATTGAATTTGGAGCATTTGTTAGAAAAAAATAAGGCTTCCAAGTAAGTAGATGCACAGAAAAAAAAAAAAAAAAAGAAAAACGGGGTAAATGGTGTCTGTTAGTTCTGGATAATATTGGCTGAATAATGTGCTGTTTTTTTTTTCTGGCTACACAGATTTCATTGTTGTAATGCCTGCAAATCCTAAATAAAGGATAAACTCAAACGATGAGACGATTATTTCCATTGTCATGCTCTTCCTACCACATCTTTCCAGTTAACATTGAGGTTCTTTGCTTTTATTTAAAAATGTCAAACACTGAAATTCAACTTAAATTTATGTAAGAAGGAGGAATATTTTCCTAGACCTAGAAAATACTGAAAACAAATCTCCAAGGTTTAGGGCAGGCAGAGGAATCCCGTTTAAATATTTTCCTCCAATCCAGATTTGCGGCGTGATTATCTCTGTTAGTGTGCGCGGTACATCTGCCAGAAATAACATCCTTAATAAAGCTTTCTGAATATTTCAGTGACCGATCTGGTCCCTCCCCAGAACCCCCGCCGCCTGCGGCTCCATTCAGATCTCACAAACTCTGTATTCATTATCGGGCAATATCCTCAGAGTGCATCATGGGTAGATCCCTGCGAGGGAAGGGGAGGACCTCGGAGAACAAAAGGTGTGGGATAAATGGCTGCGTCACATAGAGATGAAAACAAGGTCCCATCTGCTTCATGGAGGCTGACCGCAGACACAACAACACAAAATTACTAACGCGAGCTCCGGAGATTTCACCTCAGTTTAGGAATAAATGTTTGCCTCAGACCTAATGACCATCACATAGAAATGAGCAAAAACAATTAAAACCAAATTTTTTTCAAAATGTTTACATCTGAGCAGAGTGGTGAACAATTTGAATGGCACTTTAGATGATAATATAAGATTGTTTTCTCTCACACAGTGTGACATCATCTCTGCTTCTAATATAAATAACTAATGAGAACTAATGACAGGAAGACCAGAAATAAACTTGGTAATCAGCCACAAATGTCCCATTGGTTTATTTTTCAGAATCTCTCTTTAACCCTAAAAGGTTCAGTCGATAATTAGCTTCTTTTAATGCAGTATTTTGGAAAAATTGTGCATTTTAACTATATGGAGTCCTATATTTCATATTTTATGCCATAAATATGAAGAAAATAAGCAGGATTACAGAATTTCCATATAAATTCTGTAGCTGCTTAAAAAAATTTTTTATAGATATGTCACAAAGCTGTTTTCCAAACGCATAATGTTGAGAATGTTTTCAGTAATGGTGGATGAGGTTTAAGAGGATATAGCCGTCACTGTTCCCAAAATATTGTTTTTCTTTTTTTTTTGTTTTTTGGTTCTATTTTGTAGCAACACAAAACTGACCCTAATCTGCTATTTGTGAGAAACCCATTGCTGTTTATGCAGCGTTATGCAGGTCACAAAGTCAGCATGTGGCCAAGCGTAACTGAGATTGATGGCCGGAATGTGCCTTTAAATCCCGTTCGCGGATCTCTGTGTGGGGATCAATACACTTATGCCACAGATTAGAGAAAACCCACTAACTCAAGCAACTACTATCCTGCTGAGATTGCAGAGTCCCTTTTTCAGTTAAAAAACTAAAATTGTTTAAAAACAACTCATTATCAGTGCCAAAAACTAGATAAAATATCAGAAATATTAGGAAACAAGCATCTGTCTTGAAAACTATTTGCTGATAAAACCCTGCAACGCAATCCCAACTACAAAGCAAAGAGCAGAGGCCACACTTTTAGTCCCACCAACATGTAAAATGGCCCCTCTGGCTACAAATGCTGTGCCTTAGTGGTTACACAACCAACTTGGCTAATGTCACTTTTTCTCCAAGAAGTCAAAGAAGTCATCTCTTTCTTTCACCCTCCTCCCACTTCTGCCGATGAGATTACAGAGATTTGGTTTCCAGCTGCAGATGAGCACTTTGTATGTGACTGTGTGTGTGTGTGCGTGTGTGTGCATGTGTGTGTGCATGCGTGTGTGTGTGTGTGTGTGGCCAAAACCACGATTCGAGTGTGTGCACAAAGTCTGTTGTTTGGTAGCACAAAGCCGCTCCCTGCGGAGGCTTCCTTATGATTACAGAAACACAGCAGAAAAAAAAAAAAAAAATAGAAAGAAAAAAAAATTAGAAAATGCTTGTGGTTTGTGTACAGGACATTATGATTTCTGTTGTGTGTTGGTTATGTATATTTCCAATGCTTGATTTCTTGAAGGCTGAGTCCAGCCACTCTATATGGAAACCTTGTTTGCGTTGCTTGAGTCCAGAATCTTGTTCTTTCAGTCATAATCCAGAACGTACACAGTTTGGATGCATCAACAGCTTTGCTTTCTTGCTCATCACAATAGATTGTAGCAGTGGCTGAATTACTGCAGACCAGGCGACCCGATCCGTTTCTCCATCTCCCGCTCTCTGACCAAAGCACTACAGCATATTTCAACAGCAGTCAGGAGGTCTTGTTGTCTCCACATCACTGAATGGTCACTTGAAACCTGTTTTTCTGTTTCGATATTCTGCTTTGGCTGAGATGGCAAAATGAGACAAAAGCAAACAAATACAGCACTGTAATATTCAGAGCAAACTGCACACCCCGCACAGTGACTCATCAACGTCCATTTCAGCCAGTGATGTCAAGTGTTAATCAGCATCAGGCATTTTATGGGCTCTGGCTGAGAGCAGCAGATTGGGCATCAGTAGGTGATGGAAGATGGCCAGAAGAGGCTGGCATTAGTCAGGAACAAGACCTGCTGGGCCAACCTGCCACTTGCTGCTATTCATATACCAACGGCAGACTCGACTGCAACGTAATCCTGCACAGGTTATGATGCCATTCTTATGGCAAGCGAGAAGTGTTACATTCCTGTAGTCTGACCGCAGAGGTTGCATGTCAAACTCCTGAAATGTGTTTGGTTTGATTTAAGGCTGCAGCTGTTTGCCAGGCTGCCTGCCTGGATCAGATGTGAAAAGTCAGTTTTTACCCGTCGGTTTCAGTGTTGGACGCCATTCTTTGTGATTAGCTTCATTTTCCGTTACAGGTTTTATATTTAGGTTTATAAAAAATATAATTTAAAAAAGATAAATGTTGAGCAGGGATGCAGGATTCTGCACAGGTTGGCTCTGTTGCCTAGCAGCAAGAAGGTCCTTTTTTCCAAATCAGGACTCTCACTCCGTCCATCCATCCCTCCAAAACGAGTTCCATCTATTCATCCATTCATTTATTCATTCACATTCTCCACTCAGAGCAGTGGAAATATTGCCGTGAATTTATGGTAAATGTTTTTGTATATCCAGTATTTTCAGTGAAAAGACTAATTATGGAGCAAGAACTGATGTGAACAGAGGCAGGTCAGATTCTTTCATATGTTCTTTATTCAGTTTAAACCTTTCACTAAGGAGCATTCCACTTTAGTTGGCTCAAGTACGAAACACTGCATTTCTGTCAAACGTAATTGGGAGTCAGATTGATGGAAAGGGCAGTAGGTAAGAGACGGCGGATGAAAGTTGTTGTTCTGCACTGCATTTGAGGTAAATACGGTCAGTCATGACACCTGAGATGAATCCAAAGACGGTTCAGATGGAAGTGAGATCTGCTATGTCGCTGCAAATCCTTTTGAATAGAAAATTGATGGTGCTGTGAGGACAGGAAGCGCTAAATACAAACACAGCGGCGTACCGCACGGCTCTCCACACATGTTTGCGCAAAAATAAGCCTGTTTTTTTTTTTTCCTTTTCCTTTTTGGTGCAAGCGAAGCACTCCCAGAGACATTCCCCTCAACCACTCCTGGTCACTGACACGTAAACAAATGCAAGCGCACATACCGACGGTAAACCTTCACAAACACACGCGTGTCCAGATGGAGGCTGACAGCGTGCTCTGGGCAAATGGCTTCAAAACGAGGAACACATGAGCCTCTCTCTGTGTGACGGCTTTCACATGCTTCCAGAGCCTCACACACCTCCGGGGCGAAGGTGGGGGGC